CAGGTCTTAAAGGCATATGTCTCCAATACTGGCTGTATCCCTGAACACACAGAAATCTACCTAGCTCTTCTAACCACCACGCTCTTGCTATGGCTCTAATAGCTCTGACCCCAGGGCAACTTTATTTATTAACATAAAATTAAAATAACATTTCAGTACAAATAAAATATCACCATAGTCAGGAAATGGTAGAGGAACGCCTAGAGGGGGAGAAGGATGTAGACTAGGAAGTGCGCTAGAAAAGCTTAGGGCTAGGGGTGTGGCTCAGCTTCACTTGCCTAATAGGCATGAAGGCCTGGGTTCAATCCCCAGCACCCACATAAACTAGATGTCGGGGTGCATACTTGTAAAACCAGCTTTCAGGAGACTGAGGTAGGAAGATCTGAAGTTCAAGGTCCTCTATTGCTACATAATGAGTTTGAGGCTAGCCTGGGCTACATGAGACCCCATGGAAAGAGGGGGAAAGGAAGGAAGATCGGTAGGTTTATTTTGTTCTGATCTGGAACATTCCATCCAAGGGCTATTCAGTCCCCCCTGAAGCCTTTAAGACACATTCCAGAATGCCCCAGCATACCCTGCCCACTCTCTGCCCTGTTTTGCCCACCCCTGCACTGGGTAGTCACCTGGCTTTTGTGGATGGACATTGCCCAGGCCAGCTGTAAGGGAAGCTGCTGCCGGCTGAGGAACTGGCCCCCAGTGACCTGTATCGTCCAGCGGTCCATGCGGATGACCTCAGTGACCCCACACAGGAACCGTACCTGGGGAAGCCCTGAGGAAGGCATGGAGAGGTCCCACCTTTTAGCCACCCTGTGACTTGTCCTGCCGTGAAATAAACCCAGGCAGTACGATCCCCTCCATCATCACTTACCTCTCCCTTCTGACTCAAACCCAACTACCACTCCCCGGGCTCCATTCACCAGGCCCCGAGACACTGACAAGTTCTTCACCAGCATGACCTGCCGAGGAGGAAGTACAGGGGTGGCGGGGGACCCTCCGTGTGCCCGATTCCTCTCTGGCACTTAGGGTTCAGAGAGAGAAGGAAGGCTCTCATGGAGTTGAGTCCCAGTTCTGAGCATGACTCTAGCTGACTGTCACCTCTCGGACAAGCGGTCTATTTTCCTGGAACTATCTTGGCCTTATCTTGTGTCAGAGGGGCTTACTAGGCATCCAATTGCCTGGCAAGCAGGTGCTAAAGCAAGGAGGGTAACCTGCACCCCAGGACTCTGAGAAGAGTTAGATCTAGCTGGGTGTGGTGGCGCACGCCTTTGTCCCAGCACTCAGGAAGCAGAGGCAGGCGGATCTCTGTGAGTTCAAGGCCACCATGGTCAACCTAACAAGTGCCAGGCCAGCTGGGACTACATGGTTATCCTGTTTTTTTTAAAAAAAAGGAGGGGGATTACGTCTGCTAAGAAGACCACAAACCTTGAGGAATGACACCAGCACCTGCCTCCTCTCTTTCAGCCATGCTGGCCGCATCCCCCGTGTGTGCCCCGTGGACACACCCCGTTCTTGCCCAACCCATAAAGGAGGAGTCAGAACCTGCCCATCTATAAGGGCATCTATCTACTACTATAGACCACCACAGGGGAGCCACGCCACCTGGGAGCTGAGCTTCAGAAAGGGAAACTGACTTGCCCCACGTGGCATGGCTTGGCAGGGCTCTTGATGTTGAAGAGAGAAGGAGAAAGCTGAAGACGGGACAGTGCGGGGAAGTGGTCAGAGCAGGTCCATCCACTACCGAGTGGCCTTGGTAGAGTGTTAATAATCAGAGGTCCTCCCACCCCGCTCCTTTCTCACCTGAGCCCCCAGCTTTAACTGAAGGACACGACTAGCAGGACACTGGGCGTCCAGGGTCCGGGCGAGCTCGGGGTCACTGTCGATGGCCTCAAAGCTGTGTATCTCACCTGAAAAAAAAAAGGAGAATTGGAAAAACTTATTGACTCGTGACTCTGCTTGCAAAAATGTATTAGATCAAGATGGTTCCTGGGGTCGGGCGGTGGTGGCGCACACCTTTAATCCCAGCACTCGGGAGGCAGAGCCAGGAGGATCTCTGTGAGTTCGAGGCCAGCCTGGGCTACCAAGTGAGTTCCAGGAAAGGTGCAAAGCTACACAGAGAAACCCTGTCTCGAAAAAACCAAAAAAAAAAAAAAAAAAAAAAAAAAAAGATGGTTCCTGGGAAAGGACTGGGGACAGATCAGCTGGGACCTTGGAATCAGCTCACCACAGCTTTTGGGTGACAGTTTCATCTGTAAATGTACATAGAACACGGGCCCAGTTTTCTGGGGATGTGGGGGCGGCCAGGGGGGTTTGACGGCCCCTCCCAGCTGGTTTCGCCAGGCCCAAGCTTTCTGTTTACCTGGTAGCTCCTTCAGCCGCTTCTCATTGGTAAGGGCCACGTCGTCCTGGTGGGTGCAGAGTCTTGTGGCGACAATTCCATCTCTTCCCACCTTATGGGCAGCTGTGGCCCTGAGCTGGCGGGTCACTTCATCTGAACATCTGTGGGGGCTGCACTGTCAGACCAGAGATCCCCTGGACACCAGAAAAGGTGGGGGGCAGTATGGTCTGCTGCACAGGCCAAGCCTTGGGACCCAAAAAGGGCACCAGGACAGGATTTGCTGCTACCCAACCCCCAGCCAGTCTGCTTGTCCCTCAGATGTGGACAGTGAGCGTGGGAATAAGAATGCTGGACCCTGAAAACAGATGGAGCTGCTCCTGTGTCTGCCCCGAGAGGAACTGGCCACCTCGGAACCCACAGTGCTCCTGAAGAAGCGGGATATCATGAGTGAGCTCGGGCCAGAGGTTTGCAGACCTGGAACAAGACACTAGGTGTTGATGCCCTGTAAAACGGTCTATCCTATCATCAGACTGGCCTTTAGGGTGCAATCTTCTAGCCACTTGCCTGCTGCCTTGGCTGAAATAGCTAGCCCGAGTTTTTTTTTTTTCTCGTGTGTGTGTGTGTGTGTGTGTGTGTGTGTGTGTGTGTGTGTGTGTGTGTAGAAGAGTGCTTGCACTTACACACTTATACAGGCTGGAAGTAAATGTTTTAGCCTTTTTTCCCCCTGAGACAGGGTCTCACTATGTAGGTCTGTCTGTCCTGGAATTCACTTTGTAGACCAGGCTGGCCTCGAAATCACAGAGGCCTGCCTCTGCCTCCAGAGAACTGGGATTAAAAGCCTGTGCCACTATACCCAGCACTTTTTTTTTAAATCTCTTTTATTTCTTTGTTTGTTGAGACAGGTCTCTCACTGAACCTGGAGCTTACTCACCAGGCCAGCAGCTCAGGAATTCTCCTGTCTTGACCTTCCCAGCACAGGGATTTACAGGCATGTCCTGTCACTCCCAACTTTTTACATGGGCACTGGGGAATCCAAACTCGGGTCCACAGGCTTGTGTCGCAGGCACTTTACTGACTGATCCACCTCCCCAGCCTGCTCGCCTGTGTTTCTCTGTGAGGTATGGTATTGATGGTAGGTTTGATGTTTGGTTTGGGTTAGTTTTGTTTTTTTGAGGTAGTGTTTCCCTAAACAGCCCAGGCTAGCCTCAAACTCACGATGCTACCTCAGTCTCTTGCATCTTGTGTGTTGTGTGCTACAGTGCTCAATGCTATAACATTCTTGACTACATTCTATCCTAAGTTGGCCAGTGTCCTGTCCAAATCTTGTTTTCCTGTACAGACTACTTGCTCCTGAGGACAAGTATCTCTCCCACTTCCCTGGACCCAGCTGTGGTTACCAAAGCCTGTAAATCCTAGGACCGAAGGTGTGAAGGCAAGAGGATCAGTAGTTCAAGGTCATCCTTGGCCACATAGTAACTTCTAGACCGGCCTAGGCTACACCAGGTCCTCCGCCCCCAAACAAACAATGTAGACCCATCCTTGCATCCTCATCCCAGGGGCCCTTTTCCAGTACCCACCTGCCCAGCCTCACAGCTTGCAGCAGAGAGATGAAGGTCTGATCTGCCTGTCTCCATACCTCAGTCAGCTCCAGAGTCACTGGCACACATCTCCTCCAGCTCTTGGCCTGGTGGGCCAGGACAGAGGTTAAGTCAGGAAGCAGAGAAGACTCCCCCCAGAAGCATAGGGTCGGAGTCAGGGTGTAACTCCCCCAAAAGCACAGGTCAGGGGCCAGGGTGTGACCAGTACCTGGAAGCAGAATCGAGGGAGCTGGGAGCCTTTGGTCACTGGTGGCAACTGTAGGAAGTCCCCACAGATGATGAGCTGGATCCCTCCAAATGGCTTCTTCTGTTGCCGGACAGCTCTGGATAGGAGCAGAGAATGCTTTAGTCGAGAGGTTGGGTGGGCAGGCTCCTTGGGGACATCACCAGATTCAAACCTCAGTGACTGCCCTTGCAGTACATACTGACCTGGCCACAGCTTCCAGCTTGTCAAACAAGTCTGCCTCTACCATGGAGATCTCATCAATGACCAACCGTTGGCAGTTCAGCCAGCCCTGACGCACACCTGGCCGATGGGCCAGGGCCACACACTGGGCCAGGGGAGCCTGACCTGAGCCGATGCCTATGAGTGACACTATTCAGTCTTTGCTGAAACCCCAGCCCCCTTGATCTCTCCCTCCTTTCCCATAGGCTCGCACTTACCTGCAAAGGCATGAAGGGTGGTGCCCCCGATGTGGCAAGCTGCTACCCCAGTGCTGGCAGTGGCCACAGTGCCAGTAGGGGGCAGGGAGCCCAGGATATGCTTCAGCAAATAGGACTTTCCTGTCCCTGGACAGTAGGCAAAGTCAGGGTTGCCTGCTCCTCCATGCCACCCCAGGGCTACCCGCAACCTCCACCCCATTCTATCTCTGTTACCTGCACTCCCAGTGAAGAAAATGCTCTGGCCTTTCAGGACTGCCCGTAGCACAGCAGCCTGCTCCTCGGAAAGCTTCGGTTTGCTGGAGCGCATGCTCAGCTTCTTCACAGGCAGCGGCCACCTTGGAGCTTCCTGGAAGGAACAGGGCTATCTCAGAACCTTCTGCTATGCCACTTGGTCTGTATGCATTGCAAGACAGCCCTTTGCCTTGCTGTTGACTTCATTTGGAACTTCGAGCAGATCTGGTTCATCTGGAGTTCGTCCCAACAAACACTAGCCTCCACCTCCCGCATTTCACCAGTTCAGTGCCAGGCATCTTAGACTGGTGACCATACCTGATCGAATGCTGTACCATGGGCATTTCAGATCACCAGAAGTCCCCTTAATATTGCCGACCACCTTTCCCCAAACTTAGGCCTCCTGGGTCTTTTCCATCCTCAACAATAGCACATGTATTCCCTTTCTGGTCCTCACCGTACTAGGCTTTGATTCTGTTGGCTGCTTCTCCAGAGAGGAATCTGGAGCCCGGGTGGCCACAGCACGCCGCAGTTCCTCCGGTTGCACTGGACTGATGGTGACAAAGTCTCGAGGTCGCGGGCCGAGCAGTTGTGCGCGGGCAGAGGCGGGTCCTGGCCCGGGGGCAGCCGCCAGCTTCAGGCGCAGCGTGCGCAGGAAGCGGCGCAGGCGCTCCGGGGGACAGTCGGAGAGCAGCAACTGCACTGAGCCAGCCCGGGGGACACCATCCGCTGGGAGCCGCAGCGTGCTGCGCCCGGCCGCAGCGAAGCGGGTGAAGAGGCGCACGGCGCGTAGCGGGAAGCAGCGTGGGCGCCCCGCAGGTCCCGGTGCCTGCAGTCGCAGCATTAACTCGCGGCGTTCGTTTCGACCTAGGCTCAGGTCGGCAGTGCGCAGGGCCTGGCGCTTGCGAGGCTGCCCTCCAGGACTCAGCTCCTCCACGGCCACCCGGCACCGCAGCTCCGCGTCGTCACATTCACCTGTCGCCGCCTGGGTGCTAGAAAGCATCTCCAGTGCCTCTGCAGGCGTGCAGAGACCGGAGCACACAAGTTATGGAAAATCGGGATGTTATAGGTGGTATGGATACCGTGACTAACAAAACAAAAAACAAAAAAACTGTCCAAAACACTAAGGGGGTCGAGGAAGTTGTCACTAGTAGCAGAAGGAGCCACCAAGATACTACAAGCACTCTGGGACGAGGAGAAAACAAATACTCTAGAAATGTCCTCTGCTGCAGTTCTTTGGAGCGGTGGAAGGTGGCGTCAAATGCGCTTTGGGCTGGCGAGCCTCAGTTGTCCTGCAATGGCCACATCAGAAAGGGATTCCTGCTCAGAAAAGCCTGCTTGAGGAGACCCACCCAGGCCAGTGTGGGACTCGTCAGGGACCTGTGAAGGAAGCAGAGCAATCACACATTGGGCGATGGGAAGAAAACTGGCTGGAGGTGGAAACGGGCTGAGACAGGCACATCCCCTTCATCTGGGTCAGTGTGATTCCCGTGCTTTGGAAAGGATGCACGTTTAGCTAGAGAATTTATGAAACCTCCAGGCCCAGTAATCTCACTGTCTCTCCGTCCGACCCACTCATCTATACCTCTTCCGTCGAGGATCCCTAAAATAAACCCGTCCTTTGCCTCCCACCTCAGGGATCCAACTCACTTGTTGCTTTCGGAGGAAAAATCAGACCAGAACCGGCCGGCAGCAAAGCTACAGTACTAAGAACATTCAAATACTGGAAATAAGAAAATCACCCTATCGCCGGCCTGGTCTTTAAATTCTCTAGCCAATCAGGGATAGGGGCGTGGCCACGGGCGGGCCTTTCCTCGGCCTTCAACTCTGGGTGGCTCATTGTGTTGGAGGAGCGTGCGTTTGGAGTTACACGAGTGGGCGTGGTGGGGCAGGGAAGCCGCTGCGGCTGCGCAGCGCGTGGCGTACTGTCACCCAAAGCGACTCTGAAGATTTGAGAAGCCTTCTATTGACACTGTCCCCGACACCTGATTGCTTGGCCTTAGGGAAAATCTTCCTCGTCCCTTGCACATCCTGTTCCATCCACAGAACCTTTGTCGTCTTCTGGGTAGGCCATTTCACTTGCCAGCCAAGTCGGCTTCCCTGTCCCCAGATTCTTTTCACCCTTCTCTGTCCTCCTAAGAATTATTCTATACACTTGTCTCTTTTACCCTGCTGAGACCTGTGGGTAAAGAACTTTAAGACCAGTGTCAGGTGTCCAGAGAGTAGCGAACGAGTCCTTGTCCTCAGGGAATTCTTACTCCTCTTGTTGCGCTCAGAGAATTTTATCTCTTTCGGTTGGGGTCTTGCTACACTGTGTAGGCTGGTCTTGGATTCCAAGACTCAGTGGATCTTCCTTCAGCCCCCTAAGTAGCTGTGACTGCAGGCGCCTGACACGCTCCAGCTTTGAAAACTTACTTATAATTATTATTTTTCCCTCACTGAAGTTTGAAATTACCTAGCTGGAAGGGTGAGTCGAGCCACCTCATTTTACAGATAATGATAACCACTACAGACTAAATTGCCACCCCCTCTTTCTTCTCCCCTTCCCCTCTTCAGGATATCGTGTATGATGGCTGACCTCAAACTTATCAAAGTTGCTACTTGCAGGGACATGATACTGAGTTTCTAATCTTTCTGTTTCCATCTAAATGTGATTCCATGCATCTACCACCACGACCAGCTAGTTATGAGGTACAAAATGTACAACCATAGTTACATTCTCTATTCAAATTTTTTCTTCTTTAAGAATGATTTTATGTGTATGAATGTTTTGCCTGCATGTGTACCACTTGTGTGCCCGTTGAATGCCTTGCAACTGGTGGTTGTGAGCCACCGTATGGGATCTGGAAATCGAACCCAGGTCCTCTGCAAAGCCAACATGTGCTCTTTACTGCTGAGCCATCTCTCTAACCCTCAAAACCTTTTCATCAGAACTGGAGAAACGGCTCAGAAGTTAAAAGCACTTGTTCTCAGCATTTACATAGTAGCTCACAACCTTCTGTTCCAAGGGATCCAACACCTTCTGGTACACATACAAGCATGTAGGCAAAACAATCACATACATATATGTGTGTGTGTGTGTGTATATATATATATATATATATATATATATATATATTAAAAATAAAAAAAAACTTTTTCACCATCTCACAGGTAAATGCACCTGCCACCAAGCCTGACAACCTGAATTTGATCCCAGGGACCCATATGGTTGATGGAGAGAACCAGCTCTGTCCTCCACATTCTCTCTCTCTCTGTGTCTTTCTCTCTGTCTCTGTCTCTGTCTCTGTCTCTGTCTCTCTCTCTCTCTCTCTCTCTCTCACACACACACACACACACACACACACACACACACACACACACAACTGTAATCTTGTTTTGTTTTGTTTTTGAGTCACAGTTTCTCTGTATAACAGTCCTGGTTGTCCTGGAACTCGCTTTGTAGACCAGGCTGGTGTCGAACTCACAGAGATCCCTCTGCCTCTGCCTCCTAATGCTGGGATTAAAGGTGTGTGACACCACTCCCCACCGAGAGCTTATTTTGTATATCTATTTAGTTGTGCTGGTGATAAAATCCAGGGCCAAACACATGCTGGTCAAGTGCTCTACCACAGAGAAAGACCGCTAGTCCCACTATTTGTTTTCTTTTGTGTTTGTTTGTTTGTTTGTTTTTAGATTTATTTTATTTATTATGTATACAGTGTTCTGCTTGCATGTGTCCCTGCAGGCCTGAAGAGGGCACCAGAACTCATTACAGATGGTTGTGAGCCACCATGTGGTTGCTGGGAATTGAACTCAGGACCTCTGGAAGAGCAGCCAGCGCTTTTAACCTCTGAGCCACCTTTCCAGCCCCTCTTTTGTGTTTTTGTTTGTTTTGTTTTGTTTTTCGAGTCAGGGTTTCTCTGTGTAGTCCTGGCTGTCCTGGAACTCACTCTGTAGATGAGGCTAGCCTTGAATTCAGAGATTTCCACCTGCCTCTGCCTCCTAAATTATGGAATTGAAGGTGTGAACCACCACCGTCAGGCTTCTTTTGGGTTTTTGAGATAGGGTCTTGCTATACAGTTCAGACTGGTCTAGGACATGCTATGGTACAGCCCCAGCTGGTCTTGCGCTAGTAATTCTGCCTATGAGCTAGGATTACATGATGTCACTATGCCTGGTCGTGTGTGTGTGTGTGTGTGTGTGTGTGTGTGTGTGTGTGTGTGTGTGAAGTTTTGGAGTTTTGTTTTGTTTTGTTTTAACTATTAAATTGATTCATTTTATGTGTGTTTTGCCTGAATGTAAGAATGTGTACCATGTGTCTTCCAAGGTCAGAAGAGAGTGTTGGAGCCCCTGGAACTGGAGTTACTGATGGTTGTGAGCCACCTGTGATTGCTTGGAATGGAACCCAGATCCTCTGTAAGAGCCATCTCTTCAGTCCAAGCATCTACGTTTTCTGACTTATATTTTAATTTCTTTTAAATAAGCACGTGGGCAAGGACTTATGGGATATTCTAGGTACAATTCGGTATTATTTGAACGTGTTAGACATTTTTCCCACCTAAGTTTTTGTAAGGGCAACAACAGCGAGTCCTTGTAAGAAAAGAAACCCAGAACTCAATTTGGCCACTCTAGAGAATTAACGTTCCTTGGACTCCGCCCTTCTGCCCGCCCTAGCTCTTTGGGTCTTGATTGACGGACACAGAGGGGCGGAGCCAGGGGGAGTTCTTACAACTGCGGTCCAACTTCCTTCTTCGCTGCTTTGGGTTGTAGTGCGCATATGCGATGCTGTGCTTGCTGCTACCGCTGAGGTCACTTTCGAGGGAGGCACAAAGCTGCTTTTGAATGTCCTTTTCTAAACCCCAATCCAGGGTTGGAGGCACACATTTGAAGGGAGGGGTTTCTCCCTTATAAAATTTCCTCTTGTAGAACTCTTTCCAGGTCTTACCCGTTCTCTCCCACAGCAAGGTCCCAGTCCACTCTAAAGAAACAACTGTAACTTTAGCAAAGGGCGGTATCATGTGATACTAAAAGGAGCACCACCCCTCCGGGACCTTAGGATCCTTTCCCTCCAAGTTTTTGCCTTCCCTCTTCCGCAATCCGAAGCTTGCAAAGAAAATGTGGTTAGAAGAGATGAACGAGGAACGAGTATTGATTTTATGATTTTTGTATCTTCCAGAGCACAAACCAGGCACAGTGGCTCACACCTCTAATCGCACTTCGGGGATGCTGAGGTAGAAGCCAGCCTAGCCTACAGTGTGAGACCCAGTCTCAAAAGCAAAATACTCACACCCACATACATAAACACAATCCCCAAACAGTAGGAATTCACCTCCTACTGCTTCCTTACCTTGCTAGGGGTTCACTCTCTCCCCTTCCCCCCACAACACCTCTGCCTCTCCGCCCCCCTTCTCCCCTTTCCCATATACACACCTCTGTCCCTGTCTCTTTCAATTTAATGGCTTAATTATCATTTGCTGACTATCAGTATTTTACCTGAGCCTGCCCAACTTCATTCAGCTTTCCGATAGAGCTCGATGTGAATGCCAGTCGGCATGTCAAACTCACTTTCTCCAGAAAAGAGCTTTTAGTCTTCTCCAGCGCCACTGGACACACCTGCTTTTCTCCTGTCCTCACTAAGTAGCACCAACATTTGGGGCTCCAGTTGAAACCCTACACCGTATCTTTGATGCCCTCCTCACCTACTACTGAAACTTGATCTTCCTCCAACATGTATTTAGAGTCTATTAATTTCCTCCTGTCCTCATTCCTCATCCTGTGGTTAGAAGGCATCACCTCTACCCTGAAGTACAGCAATAGTCTCCTAGCCACCTAGAGTCCCAGCTTCTACTCTTATAATAACCCATTCTCCAAGTAGCAGTAAGCATGATTGTTTGTTTGTTTCGAGACAGGGTTTCTCTGTGTAGCCTTTGCTACCCTGAACTCACTCTGTAGATCAGGCTGGCCTTGAACTCACAGAGATCCGCCTGCCTCTGCCTCCCAAGCGCTGGGATTACAAGCCTGGTACAAGTGGGGTTTTATTTGGAGTTGTTTACCTTCCTGTTTAAGGACTTCATGCAGGAAGGAATGTTTCAATCTTGGAGGAAGCCGTTATACAACACTGGGGGCCTGGTGCATTGTTTTCTTCATCCTTCAAAAAATTATTCTATTATTTTATATCTGCAGGTATGTCTCTGCACCACTTACATGCCTGGTACCTGAAGAGTCCAGAACAGAGCCTCAGATCCCCCTAGAACTGGAGTTACAGACAGCTGTGAACCACTATATGGGTACTGAGGATCAAACCTGGGTCCTAACCAATGAGCCATCTCACTAGCCCTCTCCACCCTCTAGGTTAGGAATGAGCGGCAGTGTGCTCCACCCTCTTCCATGAAGAGCTGAAAAGGACCCAGGAGCCCAAAGGCCAGCAGAGGGCAGTGGAAGAGAAGCTTGGTTGGTCAGCTGGGGTGGCTGAGGCTGAAGCAGCCAGAGTCAGAGGAGGTCACCATTGATCCATCCCACACGCATGAAATTCTGGGTGCTGTAGCATGGGGCACGCCTGACCAGGAAAGCTCGTGCGTGTGTCCACGCGCGCGTGCGCGATGCTGGAGTTTTGGCTGTGGCAGTCACCCCCAGGCCTCTGTTTCTCCAATATAAAATGAAAGTGCATGATAGAATTTAAAGGCTTTCTCGCTGGTCTCTTC